CTCTCCTTACTGGAGCTGCAGAAGGAGGTAGCCTGCTGCTGTGTTGGTGGGATGGGAAAAGTGATGCTAGATGACTGTCCAGCGTGTCCCCACTTGGATTTGCAACGGTCGGCTGCTGTCCGGTTGTTGTCACATTTGACAGTGTTCTCATGGTCTCCGCTGAGGCCAGTATAGTGTTAAGTAATGCAGCTGCTTCTGTGAGGCTGCTTGCAGGCTGTTGAGCAGACATCACTGTGGCTAACTGTTGTTAGCCTGTATTTTGAAATCCGCTCCGTTTTTTTCATCACCTTCCGGTTTCACTGAAATTGATTTTCAGTTGTATGTGTGAGAGGTTTTTCAGTTGTATGTGTGAGAGGTTTTTCAGTTGTATGTGTGAGAGGTTTTTCAGTTGTATGTGTGAGAGGTTTTTCAGTTGTATGTGTGAGAGCTAATTCTGAAAAAAGTCCCGTACGGCACCTCATACGCACTGGCATTGGCACCTTCTCTCACCTCGGAGCTCAGGATTACCGTCTGCACTTCATACAGAGAGCTATAACTCAACCTGGTACCGGCACGAGGACATCGTGGCTTATAAAATGAGCAGTTTAAGGGCGTCTAAGGAGCCATTTGGTAAGTAAAATACTTTGTTGTCTTTACAGACCTTCTATTTATTAAGAATACCGTTTGTACAGCACGTTAGGCCTACAGTATTCACAGTTTTATTGAAAGACGCTTTTAATTTATACATGAGTTAACACTGAAAACTTCAGAGTCCTTAGTTTGGTTATTTGCATCATTATTGTTTTGGAGACAATATACGTTTCATCATTTAAGACCTTTTATTTGACACAATAGAACATTTTTAATTCACTGAATCCTATTTTATCAGAGTTAGTTTTGGGGAAAATCAAGTGCTTCCTGGTTAGACTGACCATAAGGAGCCAAGAAACTTTACTGAATTTATAAAGTTCCTCATTATAGTGGAAAATCCATTCCCCTTTCCCAGCAAGATAAACCTGTTTATAAATGTATGGCCTTGTATTGTGCCAGACTGGCTGAGAATGACAATGAAGATAATCTCATCACAGAACAAAAGGTTATGTCTTGTATCTCACAGGGACAAATGTTCAGAATCAGAGTAGTTTTGTCATTTGTCTCATTCATATGAATGTTTGGTGGTTAGTGTGCTGAAGACAGTTTCTTTTCTGTTTGTGTAAATGCATTATAAGAGTTTCAAGAGTTACTAGAATAGGTCTGTCTCTAAAAGATTTTTATGGCTAAGCATAAGACACCCATACAGCTATTAATGGTTAATAAGTCATTTAGTAATGCTTTAGGAGACCACTGTTGAGTTACATTCAAAGATAAAGCCAGTGCTGGGATGGAGGATCATGGAGAGATGTTACACAACCTGACAGTCACCCATAGCCAGGAGTTCTGAAATCCCGAGATCAAAAAACAGATTCATTGACACAAGCCAACCCACCAAAGCCATTTTTGACTAGCCACCAAACAACTCAGTGACTGAGGCAGATTTACACGATGTGCATACACTGACTGAAGTGCCAATCGATGTGCTGTTCAGACATTAGCTCTTGGTACTGGCAGCACGGTTAGATGTACTGACTGGGGCCCAGTTAATCAGACCAATATTTGACATTTTTAGATACCTAGCAGTGGTCGATGTGCGTCATAAGCACAGACAATCAAAAAGAATATCTGCAGACAAGGGCTGTACCTGACTAAGATTTTTGTCAGTTGACTCAGATTTTAGCTGTTCAGTGTCTTGGCGATGACTTCGCCACATTAACATCGGGGATCAAATGCAAAAAAGTGACAGGAGTCTTGTTGCGGTTGCTGTGTGCTTGTGTGTGCGTGGAAATAAAGGAGAAAAATGCATCTTCTGTCTCCGGCTCCTTCCTCAAGCTAGCCTAAGTTATATTGGTGTCAGAAGTGGGATGAGGCAGAGCCGCGGGAGCCGACAGAAACAAGAGGAAGTGTGACCTGAAGCAGAAGGCCCCTCAGCTGGCTGGGAATTGCCTGCCACCCCGCTCTCAGTGGGAGCTGGCCAAAATGAGAATGCTGATGGAGCCAGCGTTCCCTGCAAGGGAAGCGAGAGGAACCACATCCAGTTATCACCACCCCAGCTTTGCGGGGACCCAGAGCCAGCACCAGGCCACCAGCCGGCTGTTTTAGAACCACAAGGAGATCAGTTCTAGCTAGGGGCAGTGGGGCCAGCGACCAGAAGGATGCGTGGGGAGCGCCACTTTGCAGTGTGCCGTCTTCTCCTCACCTGCCAGGGTGTCACTGGCAGAGGATGCCCAGTCATGCCTGTTGTTGATGAGTCCAGACAAGTGGAGTGATTATGGAGCCCTGGTGAGTTCACTTTGGGGATGTTTTGGTGAGCTTGACCTGCCAGATGCCCTGCACAGTGAGTTTAGACACTGAACCTGGCTACCTGGAGAATCCCTCCATGTTTTGGCTTACGATGTAGAAGGCCTGGGCCCGTGTGCCTACACTTCCATGCCACCCACAATCCAGGGTGAGTTGATGAGAGATCAGTTGGTCCAGGCCCTTGTCTCATGACAAGCTTATAATGCAGTTGCAGTTGGCCAACCACAGAACCATGGTTGGAACTTACTGTGGAAAGGGGGACCTCTGCTTGTGCACCAATACATGACCCTGTGCTCTGGATCATGGCCTCTGTATGATGCAGCCAGCCAGAGACCAGCATGGAGGAGGTTACTGACTGTGGTTACTGAGGACAGTTAACCAGCCAGGTGAGGGCTGTGTAGTGTTGGGGTCAGAGAGACATCTGGCAGGATCCTCCATAATTCCCCTCTGGACAGGATGTATTTAGTTCGGGGTTGGCAAGGATTGCTCGGTGTTCTGTGTTCGGTCTGTCTGTTGTGCGGTTGCCGTGTGTTGTGTGTCTGTGGAAATAGAAGAGAAAAAGGCAGCTTCTGTGTCCGGCTTCTTCCTCAGGCTAGCCTATGTTAAAATATATTTAGAATTCCTCTGATTGATAACTCTTTGAAATGTTCAGTTATATTGGTGTCAGAAGTGGGATGAGGCAGAGCCGCGGGAGCCGACAGAAACAAGAGGAAGTGTGACCTGAAGCAGAAGGCCCCTCAGCTGGCTGGGAATTGCCTGCCACCCCGCTCTCAGTGGGAGCTGGCCAAAATGAGAATGCTGATGGAGCCAGCGTTCCCTGCAAGGGAAGCGAGAGGAACCACATCCAGTTATCACCACCCCAGCTTTGCGGGGACCCAGAGCCAGCACCAGGCCACCAGCCGGCTGTTTTAGAACCACAAGGAGATCAGTTCTAGCTAGGGGCAGTGGGGCCAGCGACCAGAAGGATGCGTGGGGAGCGCCACTTTGCAGTGTGCTGTCTTCTCCTCACCTGCCAGGGTGTCACTGGCAGAGGATGCCCAGTCATGCCTGTTGTTGATGAGTCCAGACAAGTGGAGTGATTATGGAGCCCTGGTGAGTTCACTTTGGGGATGTTTTGGTGAGCTTGACCTGCCAGATGCCCTGCACAGTGAGTTTAGACACTGAACCTGGCTACCTGGAGAATCCCTCCATGTTTTGGCTTACGATGTAGAAGGCCTGGGCCCGTGTGCCTACACTTCCATGCCACCCACAATCCAGGGTGAGTTGATGAGAGATCAGTTGGTCCAGGCCCTTGTCTCATGACAAGCTTATAATGCAGTTGCAGTTGGCCAACCACAGAACCATGGTTGGAACTTACTGTGGAAAGGGGGACCTCTGCTTGTGCACCAATACATGACCCTGTGCTCTGGATCATGGCCTCTGTATGATGCAGCCAGCCAGAGACCAGCATGGAGGAGGTTACTGACTGTGGTTACTGAGGACAGTTAACCAGCCAGGTGAGGGCTGTGTAGTGTTGGGGTCAGAGAGACATCTGGCAGGATCCTCCATAATTCCCCTCTGGACAGGATGTATTTAGTTCGGGGTTGGCAAGGATTGCTCGGTGTTCTGTGTTCGGTCTGTCTGTTGTGCGGTTGCCGTGTGTTGTGTGTCTGTGGAAATAGAAGAGAAAAAGGCAGCTTCTGTGTCCGGCTTCTTCCTCAGGCTAGCCTATGTTAAAATATATTTAGAATTCCTCTGATTGATAACTCTTTGAAATGTTCTGCCAGCGCATTTTTGTTAGCTTCCTAGTCCCTTTCAGATGGATGCATGTTGCAAAAACACAAGATAAACGTTAAACGGATGCACATATTCAAAACCAGCCATATTGCCATGACCGTTAAAGTCTTTTCTTTTCTAAAATTAGGCCACTATGCGTGGAACAATCTCACCTTTACGTGTCTAGTCCCAGTGCATAATGCATAAATTCTTCAAATAATTCAAATACCTTTAAAATTCATTGGTGTAAAATAAGTGTTTAGCAAATTTGTTTCTCATTTGATATTATTAAATTGTAGTTTATCTGATATAATGAGGAAAAACTCTCAGCATTATACATCTGCTGTCAACCTCCCTGCTCTCTAAAGACTGAAATTGGCTGAAAGTGTAAAATTCGTATCTGTCGATCACTAACACTAGCACTGTATGTGGAAAAAGGGTTGTTTTTTTTTTTACTTGCTCACAGATTTTCTCTATACTGCCACATATGCAGCTGTGGTGGAGAATAAGGAATCTTTTTCCCTCACCTTCATCTCACCTAGCTTTAGCAACCCAAACAATAAAACTGATCCTTAAAACAGTAGAGATGATTTCTTAACCATTAGCAAGGCCATTAGCTAGAACATTCAAACTACTTTAATCAGCAGAACAAATCAAGAGGTTTCCATTTCATTCTAGCTTTCAGTGGCCATTGTTAACTTCCAGGGTGATCCACTTGTCCTTGTGATAAGAACCCCATGAATTGTGAACTAAATACACTGTAGGCCGTTTACAGCTAAAGATATTCTCTTGCACATTTTGATCGTGCTCCATATTCACTATCATGTTCCTATCAAAGAAATCTAGCACTTGCTTTCACACCTCAGATGCAAACTTGTGTACTATTCACACTCAGTTTTGTTATTTCCTTTTGGTGCAAGTTGAACCGACAGAGTTTTTCCTGTCTGTAGTTTTTCCTGTTTGTAGTTACCTTAACCACTTTCTCACACACTCTGTGTTTGACATGTTATAATGAGCATGTGTTTAGTTGCACTGGAGGTTAATGGCTGTCTGCAGTTGTATACCATTCCTAAACTGTAATTTCTGGCAGATCTTGAGTAGAGACAGGATGTATCTGATAGCCAGGTTGGTAGTACCACAAAACGTTCAGTGTCCAGACCTTTTTTATTCTGGGGCCCATGTGTCAACCTTAGATAGCTTTGTGTCTAAGCTTTCACCACTGTGCTGTTTAGGAGAATAGTAATAATAGCAGTCTGTTTGGATGAGGTTGGTCTGTCCACTGAAACGTGAGATAAGTCTTTTCTATAGGTTTTGTAGGTGTTTTAAAAAGCATGTTTACCCAAATTACACAGGAACATATTTTCTAAATGTATCCTACCACACAGATACATTTTGTTTTTCTAGATTTTGAGAAATCTATCAGTGCTATTTGTCTCCATCCCTGTGCAAATGGAGGAAAGGGGAATTTTATTTGTTGTCTA